ACCAAATAAACAGCAGCTGTGCTGGGCAGACCAGACGCTGGAACACCTTCGGTCACCGTGGGCAGCGAGCTGGGCGCAGGGCAGGGAGTCACATCAGAGCTGGCTTAATACGCGGGCACAAAAAGAACATGTCACGCTTCGGATTAGAGGAAGAGGCAATTTGGCTGGATTAATGGATTTTAAAACACAAAAATGAGGCCAATTTTAATAAACATTTTCTAGTACTTTTTTTTACAAGTTTTACATTTTACAAGTACTACAAAATGTACTTGCCAATAACGTGCACTGAAAGGACCCGATGAGGAGGAAACTATCGGACATACACAAACACTAAAAAAGGAGGCAGACACCTGCTCTGTCACACAACCACAGTGCGCCAGATGCTGACACATTTCTTTCTACATAAACAGATCTGAAGTGTACACCTGCCTAACGATTAAAAATGTTCAGCCCAAAATGCAGCTTCAAGACTCCCACCACCAGGAGAATGGAGCACGGAAAAACAGACCGGGCCTATTAATGATCCACACATACATGAGGAGATGAATAGCTAAATAAATCATTGATAGTGATGCCGTCGCCTGCCCAAAGCCACTTGTTGCCAGAAGGGCTCATAAAGAGAAGGCCTTTGTGCAGACAGAGAGGAGAGATGAGGACACGGCCGCTGGAGATCACAATCAATCGTCTTACACATTTTCTCTACTTTCTGTCGAGGTTTTATCTATTTGTATTCGGAACACACAAATGAACTTGCCTCTTTGGCCGTGTCATGAGTTTTCTATTGCATAGTAAAAACCGTCAAAACAAATTGCATTTGCCCCATAAAGTGCATATGTAAATGAAGGGGAAAAAACATCATATTCAACCACAACGAGGTCACGCAGCGTTCCACTTTTTTGTGCAATTTGAATATCAGACAAAAGTTAATAATCCAAAGGCAATGGCACTTGCAGAAACAGATCAACCCATTAAAAAGAAAGGTGAGCAGTTCAAAGCTTCCGGCCGCCCCTGGTCAAATACTCAGCTCACAGACGGGCTCTGGTCGCCGTGTCATCTTCGCCGAGTCACTGACCTATTTCACCCCAAAGTCCCCACAATCTTTGCGTAGCTGTTCTCTTTAGGATTTTCGAGGAGCACTATGCAGTATGCCTGCATTTTGGGGTTATTTATAGCCGGCCACCTCCAGCCTGGGAAATTAACAGTTCGTTTTGAAACCCTAGAGCCCCGCCTGGACCAAGAGGATAATCTTACACGACAGCGTACGGAGGGTGCAAGTACAGAGCAGCGAGAGGGGTGATGGGAGCGGAGCGGCTGAGGGCTACTTTTACTATATGCCCCACATAGAAGCACAGGAGGGAGGGGTCCACCTTCGAAACTGAATAAATATGTACTGAAATCAATAATGAAAATGCTTTTTTTTTCTCTTAGGTGATTCAGCTGCAGAGCTAGGATCATTGCGTTAAAAAATAAATAAAAGTCAGTCAGTAATTGCTAACCAAACGATGCAAGAAGCAGGGTACGCGAATGTGCATTCTGCCCTCCATTAAAATTCTTAATTGGTTAAAGAATCCATACTGGCAGAGCCACAAGCCCACTGCAGAGTTAATAGATTTCTAATGGGGCAACGATGTAAGGAGACCCTCTCTAGGGAGGTATCACAGTCAAATACTGAGACTCCAAGACCCCCCACCAAGCTCTCCGATGACATCATCCTCCTAAACAGCATCCAAACATAAGTGTTGACCGGCAGCTGAGCAATCACTTCTACTCTCTGAGGCCAAAGAACACACAAGTAAGTGGGGACATGTATGCCTGTTCCTATGAATCAAGACTGCAACCCTTTAAAACGGTAGGAAAATGGCCGAACTTGAATGAAACGGATTGTGAATCTCAAGACAAAATCCCGTAATAAACAATTCCTCGACCACACATTTTTCTCCCTCACAAACATTTACATGAAGAGTTTCTGTGTATATGCTTATGCTTAAACAAGCTGCTGTTAAAAAAGGTACCGGACAGCAAGTGACCTTTTCCCCACTGGGTCAGCCTTTCAGCTCCTCGCTTTTGGTGAGACGGAGGAGGCAGCAGCGGAGATGAAAAGGCCAGCTGACCTCCACACAAAGGCCGGTTAGAGGAGCCAAGGGGCGTATCATCGCACAACAAAACCCCCTGATAATCATCAGTGGTGTTATTTTCTATTGGATTCATTGCAGTCAGAATAATGAGCGAATCTCCATTTTGTCTTAGTTTGTGAGTACATGAACAAAAAGCCTCCTATGGGTCTCATAACCTTAGATGCGAGTCAACCTGTAGAAGATCCCAGCAAATGTTTGGTTAATTCTCCAAAAAAGAAACAATTGAAACCAACCTCCCTGAACGAAACACTTAGGAACAAGGGCAACACTGAGACAGGCCTTTAGAATGGCCATTTGAGGTGTAACCAATATGGTGCATCAACGATCAATGATAAATAATCATCTAAAGTCATGTTGCTAAGTTGGTGACCCATTGGCCTATGAAGAATTCTGTTTGTGTAAAGAGTTTTGTACAAAAAGTCACACCCACGAAGTATGGTAAGCGAAGCGGGTCCGAGTTAATGAGCACTGGCCGCTACAATAGCCTGTTAATTACATAGTTTCAATTGGATAAGGAAACACATGCCATCTATTAAAAAACCCAAGACAGTATCCAGTCCTATATTATAATATCAACGTAATTGCTTGGCTCTCCGTTAACGATGCAAACGGGTACAATCCAAAACCCAAGGAAGAGCTCAAGGCATTGGAGCAGAACTTTACATTGTGGCCAAATGGTGGAATTACAACTTTCGGATCCACCAAGTGATGCCAAATATATTTTTTTCCTTGGACTAAGGTGGAGAAAGAGACATTAGTCACTTTAAATGGTAAACCTCCAGGTACAAATACATAAACAGACCTTATTTCAATCATTGGGTCCCAGAAGTAGAAAACTTTCCACCTAAATACATCAAATACTGTTTAAGAAACACGCAAGAGCATATCCTATGCCATTTGTAGGTCTCAAACAGACATTTACCAATATGTCTCAGCCATTCACCCAATCAAAAACTGTATTAAAAGTTGCCATTTGTAAAATCGCCGGCATCTGGACGAGTCTCACTTATTTTGTCTGAGAAGCTGGGCACCACCCAGATACAGCTGTTCAGAAAAAAGGGGACAATAGATTAGCATCACACCTCTAACACTGGACCTCCTCCAGCTCTTGCCTTTTCTCCAGGACAACCACCACTGATCTGACGTCAAATGCACACGAGTAGGTCACGTCCTCCCATCCAGTGTGATAATGGAAACACAGGGGTGCACATGTTACTCATAGGCTTTGGGATGTTGTGGTGGATTTTTTTTAAAAGAGGGGGAGGCAGACCAATAAGCCACCTATAAAAACAACACACAATAGTTGCTTTGCTTTGTGCGAAGGTACTAACTGAAAAATTGGTGAGCCGGGACCAAAGACCTACGTCAGCTCGGGATGGGTAGCTTTGTTTCCCCACTAGTCTAACGACCACGTTTTAAGTGATGGAAACGTAAGAACCGTCTTTGCCACCTTTTACCCTCACAGTCAACTAAAGCAGTTTTTTTTAAAGCAGCGGGTCTAAACGAGCGGCGCAGTCCGCTATATAAATGCCTCGTAATGGAATCCAACTTCCGCAGTGATCCGTTGAGCTGTTGCTCCGTGCGACGGGGCGTCACCCTAACGTACTTGTTTCTGCGGCCACTACGGGCTGCAGCGTCGCCCTCTACATTGTCTTCACCCGACGGTCGAAAAAGGGCTAAACACAGAAAGACAACAACAACAACAACGCAGGAAACACACACTCTATCACGTTTACGCTTGACTGCCGCTCGGTAGAGATGATGGGGACATTTATTGAACTGGGGTTTTTTTGGTCTCCATAACCAAGTTAACGTTACAGCACCCGAACTCACGGGAGACCGCTAGTATCGAAACGGGGACCAACCGGGACGCGAGACAACGGTGCATAACGTATTGCGACATGAATCGTATCGCGTTACATGTGGCCGAGAGTTGACCGCTGCCACGAGCTGTAACAGAGCTCAGATAAAAGCCGGCTGAGGGAAGGGAGGGCGAATCAAAACGCGGGGATAGCTAATGTTAGCTAACTGTGGACCGCAATATCCAGGGCCCCCCCCCCCCCCCCCAAAAAAAAAAGAAATATGAAAACATTTTAAAGCGGTATCATCAGACAGAACAGTCACTGCCAACGCATTTTGTACCTGGGGACGGGCAGGGGTTACTTACAACAAGCAGAGGGCTAAATAGCTGTCACAAGAACGTTTCGTCTGCCGGAGAAGAAGAAGAAGGAAAAAAATCTTCCAACTCTGTTGCCTCTGCGCTGTAATCAGAAGGACACAGGATGTGCGTTTTGGGGGGAGGGGGTCCGCTTTCCACCGTCTTCGGATATCTACACCTTTTAGTATATCCGATAAAGTGTTCAATTTTTTCAACAGCTACAGTGCACGGAGGCTTTCATTGGTTCTGGGTAAAAAACGAGCCCGCGTTGAACAATGTGCTTCCACAGAGTGGAGGGGATGAGGAGGGTCGAGCCCACGCCCAGCTCTACCAAACATAGAACCGCCCCGGTTACCATGCATGTTGCTGATGCATTCACAGACAGTCGGAAATGCGACAACTCCGCGATAACGCCCAGCTGACCTATTGACGTTAATCCAACTTGACGGTTTTAAGGAAGAGACAAGCAAACAATTCAAATGCCACAAAAAAAATGTGGCGTCATTAGTCAAAATTTGCAATCACAAACACACCCCGCTGGGAAAACAAACCACCAAACAAACAACATTTTCTTGAAATAGTTTTACATTTCACCAATCTTATCTCTAATCGCTAATTTTCACTCTAACGTGGCTTGTCTTCACCATGATTGCCTCATAAAGTGTTTCATGTAGATCAACAGCCATGAAGAATGTAACAACGTTGATTCAGATAAATCTTTATGATTATAATTACAATTTTGATGGCTTACATTTCGAAAAGCAGAGCTCGCATTTGACGGTTTGAAGGTAGCACGACACCAGGGAGGGCGGCTTAAGTTTATTGTTGCAGAAACATACACCGAGGCTGAAAATGTACTCTTTGATCGTAGTAGCAGTTATAGACTTGAACAAACGTATAGAGATATATAGGACATTCATTAGCGAAGCGTTTGCTTCAAGAGTTTCACTTTCACACGTGGACTACATATCCCAGGGTGCCACTCACTGCGGTATCCAGGAAGTCTGCTGTGGTTGCCAAGCAAACTTCTCCTCGTAAGCGAATTGCTCTCTCTGTGAAAAGTGCAGATGCTTTTGGTCAGGTGAATATATATATATATTTTTGGATACTACTGCTTTGTATTACAATGAAAATACCCTTAATTGTCGTTGGAAGGTGCGTAGCTAGTTTAGAGGAAATCAACATTAATTTCCCTCCCGCATTATGGCAACAATTAACAACAGCAGTTCTGAATAGTTCGTTAGCTAATCTAACGGTAGTTAGAGAATCCAGTTTCTGTGTTAGTATCACCTCGGTTAGAAAGTTATTCACGTGGGTTGGTAAGTCACTGATACTTATATTTTTTCATTTCAGGCATCAGTGAGAAATGAGTTGCTGCCATGTGCCTGTGCCCCGGGAGGTCCGGCCCGGCACGGCACGGGTCCTGGTGACTGAGCCGAGTGGATCGGGCCACATCAACCCGACTCCTGCTCCGAAACCACGAGAGGACTATGAAACTGCAACGGGGCTTTACCTCTCTAAGGAGAAGTTGGTAAATTAATTCAATTAGTGCCCTCTGTCATGGCAGATGAGGTGCTCTATGAACAGTAACTAGAGAAAAGGCAGCAGATACTGTGCAGATGGCTGTTTTGAGGTGGGGAGGGGGGCAGACAGGTGTGTTTCCAATGTATGCGAGTGACGATTATGATAAACTATGTTGCATAAAGATAAAATCCAGAATAATGCAGGCTGTTGACTTCCGTCTCTGGTAGGAATCAGTGTGTGGAACTCGGGATCTCTCTAATGTGACCTCGCTGGAGATCCGCGTAGACACACAAGAAAACACCCTGGGTAACTTTGGTAAGCTATATTTATTTTATTTGTTAATCTGACACGGTACAGTTCACATTATGAAAATGATAAAAGTCAGAATCTTCAGGTAGTAACAAGAGGTGTAACACTGAGGCCCTCAAAGTCCACGCACACACAAAGCACATAAAATGACTGATGACTACGGCATCCCCACGCATTTACGAATGTTAAATGTGCAATTACTCGTTCAATTTTATTGTTGACGATTAGATGATTTTAAAAGACCACAATAACAATCATGGAGCAGGAGTTGGAAATAAAGACATTGTTGTGATGCACACAACGTATCAGTACTACACTCCCTCTCAGGTGTGCCAACCTCAGTGCAGGATGACTGAGCAGATAGTGGTGAAGGAACACTTCATTAGGCTCACCTTCCTCTTCAGAAACTTCAAGATTGCACAACGAGTACAGGCATGACGGAGCAGGGTCCGTGCATGTGTGAGTCATGCTTAGGTGCTCTTCCTTATAGCTAATTGCAGTGGAATGGAGTGCACTGGAATTCAGAGCAGGAGGCTGCTCTGAAACCCAATAAATAATCCCCCCACTGTTACATGACGGTGAGAGTAATGGCCTTTTTTATCTGATCATCTTGCAGGTGCCTACTTGCCCAGGCTATTGAAGCTCAAAATGAACAACAGCAACATAATGTCAGTGAGGTAAGTCTAAAGTTACAACACGCAGAAACCATCTTCTTGTGTTCTTCCTGCTTTGTATTCCGGAAAAGCAACCTGTTCCTTGGGGAACACGCACAATCACACTCGTATTATGTTGGCATTACCTCATGCAACGCTACAGATTCTCAAGAAGCCGCTAATCCCAAAACCAAAGATAAAATGCACCGTCAAACAAAACTTTCCCCTGATGGTGAACCACTTCATGTTAAGCTTGTATTTATAAATACAGTATGTGGATTATAAGAAACTGAGAAGTCTTGGAGGCCAAAAAAAGACTCTTCTGCTTTGAAGCTGAATACGAGGTCAGAAGTTACAGGGGTTTGTACTTGTTCGGAAAAAAAAAAAGTGTACGATGCGCTGGGTGCAGGTGTAGGGCTCAGCTCTGCTTTATCCACTGTTTTCTAGTGGGTACTTGCAATACCATTTTTCTGTATGGAAGTTACATGTTACTTCTTGTGGTGTAATGTAAAGTCTTATAGCTCGATACACATGGAGAATAGGTTCCCCCACTTGTCTCACAATAGAACAGAGGGGTTTGTGGCATATCAGCTTGCCCACGTGGACAACGTCCGGATAAAAGTCAGGACACAGAGACAGTTTCTCCACTTTCATTGCAGCCATGACTGTGTCATCCAAATGATCCGCCAAGACCAAACACTCACACCTTGCAAGTTGTCCTCACGACTCCACAGGTGGAGAATCTTTTGCCCGAGAGACAACTGGGGTATGAGAGACTGAAAGATACGGAGCTTTGTGCTCCACCCTGAGCGCCGCAGAGCAGAGCCAGCTGGACGTGCGCTGCCTCTGATAGCATTTCCTGCTCTGAGCTGTGGCAGCTGTAGGGGAGAGGATGTTATGGGATTTTTATGCGCTGACTGAGACTCTACTGGAAGGGTCAAAGCACTGGTGTGTCACAGAGACAAGCGATAGGCAACGGAGCGATCTGCTCGTTGGAGAAGCGGAGCGGATAGCCTTTTCCATGATTCCCTGTGTCGTGTAACTCCCTTCCTGCCTCTAAATCAAGTGGGCGCTTTCCTTTGTGTTCTTAGAGACCTGGGAACCACCCTCTCCCACCTGCAGGTGCTGTGGATGTCTCGCTGCTCCCTACAAGACCTCACTGGCATTTGTGCTTTCACTTCCCTCAAGGTAGTGTTTGTTGGTTACTGGTGCATAACCGCCTCGCTTTCCTCACTTCCTTGTTCCTATAAGAGTGTGTATAAAGACTGTAATAAAAAATGAATACGCCGTATGTACTTCTCTCTGATGCAGGAGTTGTACGTGGCCTATAACAACGTGTCGGACCTGAGTCAGCTGGGCATGCTCGAGAACCTGCAGCTGTTGGATCTGGAAGGGAATAATGTGGATGACATTGTCCAGATTCAGTATCTGGGGCTATGTGGCAAACTTCAGACACTGTCCCTGGAAGGAAACCCTGTGTGTGCGCACCCAAACCCCACTGCCATCCAGGTAGGAGTATGCTCTGATCATTTTGTTTCTACCTTAAAACAACATCTTACTACATGTGTAGCCGCCAGCAAAAATAGTTGCCAATAGTTTCATGGTCCTTGTTTGCACTTTTCACACGCAGATATTTGACTAATAGTCACCGTTCAAAATGTAAAACAGTGGAATTGGAGATTTCAGGAAGAACGAAAAATGTAAAATGTCTAGTTTGTAGTTAGTTTTCTCTCCTGTGCTAGTAGACTAGCAGCCTTCATGGCTTTGTTAGATGATTACTGAAATCTAATCTGCATGCGCTGAGATTTAAAAGCATCTGTGTGATCTCACCGCTCTGCATCTGGGTCTTCAATGCACCAGACAGGAGGCGTCCAAATAATAAAACATCAAGTCATCATGACACAGACAGAATGTTTAATCACTACATTACAGAGCTATTTGATGCCTTTGAAAATTAGCCAATGCATTTTTTTTTGATGGGAGGAGCAGCGCACCATGGACCTCTCGAGTGCTGCACGATGCAGCTGCATATTCAAAGTAGAAGCTGCATTTTCCACCTTTTGCTGATTTGAGACACAGTGTGCTGTGAGTTTATTTGGGCCACTGTGAATGTGTTTATTTACACCCACTAGCAGAGCATTAATTAGGAAACTGGGGCAATGAGGGTAGGTGCTGAGCTGAATATGCATTAGGCCTGTGCTTTGTAGTGACTGAGGGGTTCTTGGGTTTGCGTTCTTGCCAAACCATCACTCCTCTTGCTCCCTTTTCTTTCCACCAAACACAAAGATCTCCTCATTTCCTCCCGCCCAACACATTCTCCTCCTCCTTCTTTCTCTTTTTCATTTCCACCCTGCCAGCCCTTCACTCTCGCTTTCATTCCCTGCGTCAGTGTGGTTTAGCGATGGAAGGGGGGGGGGGGGGGGGCATATAGCTCTAGTTTGATCACTTAGTACCTCAGTGATCTGCTGGACTCTCTCTCTCTCTCTCTCTCTCTCTCTCAAAGTAAAGTTCCACAATTTCATTAAAGTGCCATGATGGTGAAAATGGGTGCAAAAACATATAACATAGGTTATCTAATATGCATTACCACAATTTGATGCTAGCAACTATTTAGAACTGTCTGACGTTTGGGCTGCTACTGTATAAGCTTTTTTTATCATTAACAATTTATCAATTGCCATTAAGATGAATATTTAACCTGCATTTAAAACAACAAATTAAGCTAATTCAGCAGGCCGATGGAACTCATTCCATTGAAAGAAAACAGTGGGAACAGCATCTCTCTTTAACAATTAAAAATTCCTTTATATGAGTTCATATATTCATTGTAATTACAGTGTTTTAAATGTGATTTACTGTGTGGACTGTAAGATGTTTAATGTTTGGTTTGATGCTTCACATTATGCATGAGACCCCTAATGCTGCCACAAGTTTCAGTTTCACATCTATACATGTTGTACTTTTAAACCATTAGTATCTGAAACTATTTCACTTTGTTTTGTTTATGAATATTAACGCGTTACATAGATAGATAGATCGATTGATTCGACTAATCCCAATCATGTTTTGTCCCCCTCTACGTTCCCCTACGTTGCTTCCACCCCTCCACTCAGACGGCAGACTATAGTTATCGGGCCGCAGTGAGGGAGTTGGTCCCTCAGCTGCGTTACCTAGACGATCTAAGGGTGGAGGAGGACGGCCTGAGCTCCCACAGCACCATGGGAGAGGACTGGGCCATTCTCCGAGACTGCATCAGAGACGGCAGCTCCTCCCAGGCAGCTGCTGAATACGGTGTGTATATGGCCATGGCGTTTCGAGTGATTTGACACGGACCAGTTCATTACAGCTGTGTATTTTAGCGGCCTCTCCCTCTTGAATTTTCAGAGGACACAGCAGACCGTGGATATCCTTACAGCCGCCCGGCCTCAGCCCGGCGCCCCGCATACAACGTATGCTCTGGACCCAAGACAGCCACCAGGCCTGGAGTTCTCTCTGGTTCCAGACCTGGTTCTGCAGATTCAGATCTGGCGACAGTGGAAGCAGAAGCCAGCGTCCTTACACATGGTTAGGGGGCTGCCTTTCAAACTGATGTCTCAAACTGTCATCGCTAGTTCCTCGTTTCTCTCATGAGCTTTACCTTTTGCAGATACATTCTGTAATCTTTACTCAACAGTGCCACCAAGAGGCTGCCCTTTGTGTCGGATTCACTGAAATTCTTCTCTTATCTGTTGCTTTTTCGAAGGGGCTGGCAAGATTCTCTTCTGCGGAAACCCGGTCCAGGCGGTTCGGGCCAGGCGTGAAAAGCTGAGGGTAAAAACACAGATCTGTATTAATGAGATATCAAACTAATCAACAGCAGTCTATCATTTCATGCTCGCTGTTTCCCATTCAGCACAGCATCTAGAGGCACAAGAAGCATTGCGGGCCCGGTCGGGCTATTATGGCCAAATGACACCATAGGCTCATCTGTCATCTTGTTAGAAGGAGCTAATTATCTGCAGGTGGACAGAAACCCGAGAGGAGAGACACGGGGGATGGGGATGTGTTGAGGCTCTAGAAGTGTCTTGACGGACGGACGGATGGAGCTCTCGCTCTCGACGTCATCTGGTGTCACTCTGCCTTCCTCTTACCTCCTCTCCCCGTTCCGTCTGCCCCTCTCGTGTTTGCTCTCCCTCACTATCTGACCATTACTCTTACATCTATCCATAATGAATGTACTCAGCTCTTAAGCCTCTATTTTGCTTCTTTTTCTTTTCTAGTTCCCTCTTCTGCCCCTCATTCTCTTCCTCCCTCTCTTTGGTCTCTTAGACGGCACCTACCAGATCTACTTTCACCCACCGTGACCTTCCCATCCACGTACCTGAGCACACGTACGACCTTGAGGAGACCGATGTCAGAGAACGCATCGATGTCTTTGCCGAGCTTAGAGCTTGGAGGGAGCAGCATGGCAGGTACTGACATTCTTCTTTAACTGGAAATAGGCTGGCTTGTGATGATACGTTATGAAGTCAGCTTCATGGACAGCCTTTGAAATGTAATCCGAGAGTCGGTATGAAAAGAATTCTAAATATCTATTGAGAATTGTATCTGTGTTTCACTCTACGCTTTGAGCCAACCAGGCTTCTTTTGCAGACCATAGGGGGATGAAACTCAACACCTTTCTGCATTGTTTTTCAGGCGTCTCCAGGCCATAAAGACAGAAAGATTACCACAGGTCCTGGCTATTTGTTACAGTGATGAAGAAGAGGGGGGAGATGACAACAAAGGAAAACATGAAGCGGAGATGCGCAGAGACAGACGAGACGCTGCCTCACCAGATTCCCCTTCGCAGTTTCTTTCCCCAGGTAAATACCCTCTGAGCAAACCTTAAATTGAAAGAAAGTGAAAATCTTATTGACCATCTGGCCATGAAGCTTTGGAAATCTTTTTTTTTGTTTTGTTTTCAGGCCTGCATCCCAGAGAAGCCTTCTCCTCAGAGGCGGCTGGACCCTCCCTGTCACCTGGCACCACGCTGTCCCCCTCTCCCCCTCCCAGTGCCGCACCGGCAACTGGAGACAGGAAGCCGACTGGGCTCCGTGCACGCCGGCTTCGACTCAGCCAGACCAACTCAGAACATACTGATTTCAGCAGAGCAGGGCGCTGCCCGGGGGCAGAGACGACGCCTGGAGACACACACCCGAAACTCCAGGGGATCCAGCAGTTGACAAAGACAAACAAGCCTCTTTCGCTCCAGCCTGCATACACACCCCGCCCACCTCCAACGAGGGCCCCCGGTCAAAGGCTCATGGGTTCATGGTACGGCTTTATTAAAGGTTATCTTTTGTGCACCATATACAGAATACAAACTATAGATTCATCTTTATTTGTTTAAAGTATCAGCTAATTATAATTCATCAGTAAATGTTTGACAAACAGCATCATGTTTTGATTTTATTGTTATTTCATAATTTCGTGAATTAGGTAATCAATCTGTAATAGTTTTAATTGAAACATAAAAATGTGATGCTAAAAGAAGGTTCTTTGTCTTTCAGTGCAGAGATGGACTCATCCAGTAAACAAGCTGGCAGAGGGCGTCTTAAAATCACGCAAATGTCCAAACTTCTGGACCGACCAGCGATCTCTCGTCCTCACACAGCCAGGGCCGCTCTACAGAAACACCACCAGCACCTCACAAACCAGCCCTGCACAGGGAGCCCACACCTAGACTGACAACCTGGGGGTGCAGGGGCACAGACTGTCTGGCTAAGGATCCGTACAATTAGTGTGACATTCCTTCAAGAACAAGAGTGACAGCATGAAGGTCAACACGAGCGTTCCTCTTACCTCAAGGACGTGCTTCGTGCTGACGTTGTCCCTCTAACTCGACTGAGTTGCTGGTTTACTGGTGGCTCCTTTAGCTAGATGAAAAATAAAGAAGACGTGACTAATACCATCATATTTGAATTTCTCCGGTCAAAACATTGAATTGACTTAAATGCTACATTTTGTTTTTCCCAATGAAAAAAAAGCTGTGAGGTGGATTACAGGAAAAGGATCAGTGATTGTCTTGTCATTCATGGTGTAATAGGCGCGCATTGCCACTTGAAGGCGCTCCATGTATACATTAAATCGAAACTCATTCTATTGTTTCAACTACCTTGGTCAAACAATCCTAGAACTCCACCACCTTGAAACAAAGGAGTCTGCTTGTGCACATCTAAGGCCGCATTTACACATACACCCAATCGCTGAGAATGCCTTCCACACTGCTAATACAGCAGAAACTGTTTCATGATGGATTGATACACAGCATGAGTAATAGAGTCGAACCAATCGGGTGCATTTTGAGTTTATATGTTCTAACTGTGACACACTGTAAGCTCCGGTGTGTTAGCCATCCATTGCACCATGAACGACTCTCGCAGACTGATTTTGTCCTGATGCCCACTTATGATGAGGACCAGAGAGGCAGCCACATCTAATACCTGAGTGAATACCTGTTCTCGACGGACATATATTTTTGAGGGTCTCATATTTATGTCGGACTGTCCTCAACATGGACGTTGACAAAGCACTTCCCATTCTTCTGTCAGCCGTGCTGCAGTTGTACAGAAACAATGCACAGACAGTAGTTCAACCTTGAGGGCACAGCTAACGCTCCTCACAACACTGACGGAATGGAAGAGTTTCACTTGTTAGGCCCAGGAATGTATGATTTGTGTGCACATCCATTCACCAGCTCTTACGTAACATGTTAGCGCATTTATTATCTTCTTTCCATCGTTCATTTTTGGCATTACTTACCTGGCAGGTGTTTTCAGCAACACCCTCGTCTCTCTAGTGCCATTAGGGCTCAGGGCAGATGAGAGGGGAATGAAAGGAGAGGCCTTTTACTGTGAGGAAGTGGGAGAGGGTCCGCCTCATCTAATTTCTCTCAAAGGGATCATTCTCACAGCTGGTGCTACCGGTGGACCTGATCTGCACAGATGATTTGATTAAAAAAAGAAAGCTTTTTACCTCCTAACCCTCTTTCAGATGGGAAATACTTTGAGGAAACCTAAAAATTAGATTCCATAGACACCTTCCTGTAATCCTCTGATAGGAAGTGGAACAACAGTTTCAGTAAATACGGTTTTTCCAGCAATCTTTCATTTTCTTGAAATATTTTAAGCTATTATTAGACCACAATGGATTCCACTGAAAAAGCATCACTGTGGTCAGAAAAGCCAAGCCCCGTTTCCTGTTGTTGTTACTGTAGCTAACAAGATGGCTAACACATTGGTAAAAACATTCACAACAACACAACTGTGTAACCAAAGTGGAATTTGATTCATATTTTCATAAGCAGCCTCCTTCTTGTCATGACATGAGACTTGTCACTTGTCCAAGCAAGTGCTGAAACTGGAAATACCTACAGAATGCGTCCAGGCAGGCCGGGACAATCTGTCTCTGCAGTACGTACGAGGTACGTACGAAGATATTTATTCCTCGTTTCCCTGTTGGCACTTTTACAACCACGCGCAGAAATGACGACTGTAATGGTACAAAAGCACAAAGTAAAGGACAACTGCTAATTTATATTTACAGTTTTCTCAGTTGCATCTAATGCTTGTGACAAAGCAGATCTGTTTTCTGAGACAATACGTTTAAAGAAAGATTAGTTGCCTTCGGATTGTTTTGATACTGCATGTGTTCAGTTACTATGAGCAGCAAGAGGCACTGGAAGAGAACAAATAATGTGAGACTAGAAGAGAAACCTGTGTTCTGACCTCATAATATTGCATCACATCAAGCTTGTATTCCAATAACTGGGAGTTATTTAAAGAAAATAGACTAGAGATTCATAATGTGTTTATTGATTTGTTCCAAAGGAAGAAAACCATGAACAGATGTTGTAACTTCCCTTTTTTCACTTCAAAAAACATTGTTGTAGAGCAGCGATTGTTATTTGTGGGATGACTGTAACATATGTTTCCGTTTTATGAGGAGACTGTTGCTTTTGTATGTTTAATTAACATGATCAGGTAAGGAATATTTGCCCCATAAAGATGCAAGTGAAACGTTTGAGTTAGCATTCCAGAAGAGGAATATGTGACATCATCCTTTAATGCCAGGGATCATTGTATGTGTCATTTAGCCTTCCAGCACTAAATTATAGACATGTTTGAGCCGACACACGTTCAATTAAAAAAAGAGTATAAAACAAAGAAGCCCATGGTTAACTTGACTTCAGTAAGACGTGGATGGTTCCTCTTACTTTTTTTAATGAAAATACCTATTAATGGTGTTATGTGTTATGTGAAAAGATTATTGCAAGAATTACAACCTTCCGCTTCTAAAACTTCCTCCTCATTTTAGATGACAAACATGCAGTGACCTGTTTCATATTTTAAAGGGAACTCTCTGTAATGCAGCTTCCTTATATTCCCCCTATCTCAGATACTGTCAGATTTAGTTCGGTAACTTCAAAATATTCTCTCTTAGTAACATATCCGCTACATAATCCAACAATGTAGCCCACCTGTAATATAAAAGCTTTGTTTTATCATTTGAAATCAGATTACATCTACCGTTGTCAGTGTCTGGGCCTTCCTCAAGCTATGTGTTGACACCAGTCACCGGTAACGGACTCAGGCTGTGTATGTTTTCTAGCGTTTTTTTTTTCCATTTAAGCAAAATCCAGAGGGCATTTCATCCCTTTCTTCTTCGTCGTTAGGGGACCCTTAAGGGCCTATTATTACAACTACTTCCACCTTGGGGGCACTAATTGATGTTCTCATACATATGTCTGTCCAAGAAATCGCGTTCATAGCTTTTGTTTTGGTTTTGATGGGTAAGGATCTAGTTCCATAGTCGTCACCAGTTACCGTTTAAAAAGCTGTCGCCCCAAAACTGTCAGTAATCTGTAGTTTGTTTTTAATAGGTACTTATATAAGCACACAGCAATACCGCGACTACAACAGTGTTGTCAAGGAACTAAGATGTAAAGATACATTTTCCACATAATAATATTTTGGTTCAAAGCCCTTAATTTGAAACTAGTGACCGGAAATGGTTTAATGTCCATTTCCTGTTTGGAGTGACAGCTTTTTTTCTGAAGGGGACCAGAGGATGAAGCACTCGGTCATCCGCCGAGGTTGACGACTGAATCACTGGTAAGTTTATGTTTTACGTTGTATTTAATTTTCTGCCAGACTTTAGTGACATTGAATTGTTTTTATTTAATTTTTTTATCTTGGTAACGGATGCAACAAGTGCTCGCGAGCGCTGCACCTGCAGTTTGGCGAACAATAAACCGGCTTCACGTCCCCAAACTTGTAACGCCCGCGTTTAGTCGACGAATCTGCTGTTTGTGCTTTTATTCGTCCTCGTCGCTTTTTCAACTTTAAGGTCAAAATAAGTAAATTCTGTGAACGCTGTGCTAGCGTAACTTCTATTTTCTGTTTTAGTCCACTTTTTACACGCAAATATTAGGCTAGAGTTTAGTTAAACGGTAGTTACAGTGTTACCGAACCACAGAGAAACAACAACAATTAGTCTATCATCATACGCTTCCTTGTAATTTTTACATGGTAGTAGCAAATTAAAGGTAGTTTGAACAGTCAAACTGTTGCCAGTTGAAGCACGTTGTATTTTTTAAAATTATTTCTTAATTCTCAACCATTGTTTATTATTATTAATAATAATAATAATAATAATAATTCACTTAATCACACGATCCTCACAATTCAGAAGCACCAGGTGAGATGGGCATTCCTAGTTGATAAATAATTTAAATGGTTAAATGATAATCTGAGATAACATTTTATGTTGATCGACATATTTATATTTATATATATAGTTATTGTTAACTCAATAACTTAACTGGTATATATTGTCCCCTTTCTTTTCTTTATCGCACATGTCCTGAATGCACATCTGCAAAATACAAATATTGGTTTATGAATTCAGACCATCTATCTATTCGTTTACCTTTCATTCTTCTTCTTCTTGCTGTTCTGTCTGGCTGCTTTGTTCATTTTGTGGTCTGACAACATTTACATATTTGTCCCTTCATTTTCTCGTATGTCTTTTACATCTATTGTATGTCAATTACATCTATTGTCTCTTGTGTGTACTTCCCCCCCTCTCCTGCACTCTGTACCTTTTTACACTTTTACTTCCTCGTTATTTTTATCTGATCTAGTTTCCTTCTCTTTTTTTCCTTTCCTTTCCCACGTCAATGATTTACCTTAATTGAAGAGCTCAGCTTCGTACACGGTGTTTGCGTTCTCTTTATGTCTTGGCTATAAGCATTTCATACATTTTTGTCTTCGTAAGCCAACGTGCTTTTCTGTTAGTATTTGGGCTGTTCCCTGACTAAGTATTCTTTGGAGTCATTCTTGACAGATTAGCTCAGATAATGGGACAGTAAAGGCTGATATATATTGATGTTGTGTGCTAGTTTTTGCGGCCTGTGTTTAGATTTTCTTTTCTCTGCACTTTAATACTAAGCCCCAATGCAGTACAGATAGGCGTGGGAGGTTTCCTGCTTTTCAGACTGTAAGTTGTTGTTTCCAAAGATTGTGAGGCTGACTGCCTGAAGTGTCATTTCATGATTAAGTCTAATTTCCAGCTCGCACGCTCCGTCTGCGAGAATATCCGGAAAAATGTGTGGAAAGCCCGATGCTGGAACATGTCTATTGACAAGCTGATCCAGGATTGTTAATATCAGGTAGTTGTTTTAATTACCTAATAAAATAATAATAGTGGCGGTTCAGACCTGTCTTCGCTGTCAATTTATTGGATACTGTTGGGTTTGTCGCCTTCTCTTGCCATATAACCCATCAGCTATCCTCTCACATTCTCACCGTGGTGATTGGACCTCTTTTCACTTGGTAAATGCATTCCTGCCTTCCACAGCTGAAGTAGGGCAATTTACTGGTGCTGAGGCGATGTATTACGAGGCGGATG